GGCGCGCTCCACGCGCGCGTCGACCGCCTCTGGGTCGCGGCCCTGGTCCGCGGGGTTCCGGGGCGGGCCAGCGTATGGCTGCCCACGCAGGCAAGGTGGGAGCCGGGGGCCTCGCCCTGGGGTCTGCAGGGAGGGGGCCGATGGTTGTCTTCCAGAGAATTTGTCTCCTGGAGAGGTTGGCGTCTTGGCACAGGTGCGAACAGCTGTAAGAGGCTGAACAATTTCTAATGTTAGCAGCAGTTTGATGTCCGTATGATTACCGAATTCTGTAGACGCAGGAGATATTGATCTCAAAGTGCAAAAAATAAGCTTCTGGGTGTTAATATTTTCTGCACGTTCGTTGTTAGCGTCCAAATTCGAGAGAAAGATTAGGTGTGGTCATCTCGGGCGATCTCCAGTAGCTGTGTGCAGATTCACACTGCCATCTCTCAGCCGTTTAATCGTGTGGGCTTTCTCCAAATTTCAGTGTTTGAAGATACTGTGGAGGAGCGTGTCATCAGTGAAGAATATAAAATCTGGAAGAAGAACACACCGTTTCTGTATGACCTGGTTATGACCCATGCTCTTCAGTGGCCGAGTCTTACGGTTCAGTGGCTTCCTGAAGTGACTAAGTAAGGGTTTCTTGCAACTTACTTTGCTTAAGTTTAACTATCCGTATGAATTTCCTAGTGTGGACGTTTTATAAGTAAAACATAAGTGGGTAACAGGTTAGCTCTTGGATAAGGCAGTTTGTATTTTCAAAATAGAAGTGATTTATGGGATAATTTCTGATCTGTAAGTGTGGCAGTGAAAGAGAAAGAATCTGTTAGGAGAATATTAATGTTTATAGGAAATACAGAATACATTTGATATTCCTTGGGTTTAGCTATAAGGCTCTCTAGTGGTGGAGTGGTTAAAGCATTCGGCTGCTAACCAAAAAGGTTGGCAGTTCAAACCCATGGATTTGCTTGCTCCATGAAGATTTACAGCTTTGGGAACACTGAGACAATTCTACTCTGTCCTGTAGTGTTGGTATGAGTCAGAATTGACCAGATGGGAGTGGGTTTGCTTTTTTTGTGTGGGGAGGGGAGGTTTAGATATAGAATAACGTTTCTGGGTCTCAGACTAATGTATTTCTGTAAAACTATGGAAAAATGGCATATGTGCAGAAAAAACACAATACATACAGAAAAGGTACATAGATCAGAAGTGTCTGGCTTGAAATATTTTAACAAAGTGAACCCACCACGTAACCATCACTCAAAATGAATACCTTTTAATCATCAAAGGGAAAAAGAATGTGGCAACAGTTCACCAAAGAAAAGGTGTTGTTACTGGCTTATAATACAAAGTACACTTTTAGATTGCTATTGACCTTCCTAAGAGTGGTCATTTAAACTAGTTTTAAAATTTCTCTGAGTAATAATCACTGATGCTTAGTGAGCACCTAGAACAGGACCTGTCCCATCTGAAGAGTTTTGTAAAAGTCGTATTATTTGGTTTCGTCCTCGCAACAATACTGTGATACAGGTTCTTTTTATCATCTCCATTTTTCCAATGAGAAAACTGAAGCTGAGCAGTTAAGTAATATGTCCGTGCTTACTCAGTTGGTAAGTGGTGGAGCAGGCGGCCAGACCACCTGGCTCCAGAGTTCAGGCAACCCCTGCACTAGACTCCCTTTCCCATCTCACCTCATTTTTATCAGGAACTTGACCACGCATGTATTTTTAAAAGTGCGTTGGATTTGAGTATTGGAAATATATAATTCAGTGAGCACTAAATCAAATGGTAATCTTTTAGAAAGGGGATTTGGGGACAGGTTATAATTTTATATGAAATTAATATATTTTCATAACAGCTAAATTTCTCCATAAGCAAACATTGCCTCCCACACAGATGGGGAATCCATTGGTATTCCTAAAAATCTAACCATAAGTGTACAGATACGGGAAGAGTAGCCATGAACCAGATAAAGAGACTTGTAAACATTTATGGGTATCTCTGAACCAGGTTTTAAAATAGAGTGAGCATGATACACTTAAGGATGTTTAGGAGCATCTGGAGGATTTGACTCTCTGTGTCTTCCTGTTATGTAACTTTTCAACAACTTAACCTTACCTTTTCCTGGATCTTTTGATGTATTGTGGTAAGAAAAAGTAGGGGCTTTGAGATTGGAGACCTGGGCAGTTGTCAGTCCTTATCCCCACCCCAGCTGTTTGTAAGTAGAGATACTAACAATGCTGATTGTGTGCCCTGGAGAGTGGTCTGAGGACACTGTCTGATGCTGATTGTCCCTCCTCTTCCTAGTCAGAAATAATTTTGTTAGAGTAGAAATACCTCTGTGGTTCTGCATGGGATTTTCAATGATAGATGCTCATCAGAGTTCTTTTTAAATGTTACCTGTAATGCGTTTTTCTTACACTTTTTTACCAGGAATATATATGTTCCTCATAGCCCAGATGGATTGCGTTTATTATTAAATAATTAGGAATTTAACAGAAAATGCTTTAAACTAAGTAAGTTCCATGGGTTCTTTGCATACAAAGAGTTGTGGGATCTGATTGTGGGGCGTTTACTGGCCCTGGAAATGTAAGAAAATTCCAGGCAGCCTGCATTCCTAGCTTGAGCACTGCTGTATGGTGCTTTGCCAGGTTCTATTTGGGGGAGAGAAGGGAAGGGGGGATGTGTTGTGGTGGTGGTACAGAGCAGTAGAAATGTTGGTTACTATCTTACTGCCTGGCTGTTAGAGGAAGTAGACACTCCCTTTCATCGGCTCTGCCTACATAAAATGCCCTGGTGGTGCAGTGGTTAAGCACTCGGCTGCTAACAGAGAGGTTGGTGGCTCAAATCCACCAGTTGCTCCACAGGAGGAACATGAGGCAGTCTACTGTCATGAAGATGCCAAACCAAAACCAAACTCACTGCCATCGAATTGGATCCGACTCTTAGCGACCCCTCCTTAGGTTTCTGAGGCAGTATCACTACGGAAATAGATTGCCCAACCTTCTGAGGAGTGGCTGGTGGGTTTGAACCACCAGCCTTCTGGTTAGCAGTCATATGCCTTAGGCACTAGGCCACCAGAGCTCCCCCATAAAGATTACAGCCTTGGAAATCCTATGGGGCAGTTCAGCTCTGGCCTATGGGTTTGCTTTGAATGGGAATCAGCTTGACAGCAATGGGTTTTTTGTTTTGTTTATTTTGGGGGGCGGTAAGGGTGGGGTGTCCTGCCTACACGCAACATGCTTCCTAACGATTACTTGAACTTTTTGAGCTGTAGTCCTTAAATTGACTTATATAATATTTAAGTATAAGAAATTGATTTTTTTAAATTACTGGTAGATGTTATTTCTTCTTTATAAATAATTTCTTGATAAATGTGTCAAGATTAACTTACTTCTCTACTTTAAAAAGCTTTGTAATCTTTCAAATCCAGACAAAGGTATAGTAAAACCAAACAATAGTTTAGCTTTGCTAGTTAAAAAAAGGCCTGTCTTTAGCATTTTGCTTTTGTAAGAACTATATGGGATCAGATTGATAACAGCAGCTTGAAAGATTACATAGGAGCCTTAAAGGGCAGTGAGTTTGTATTAATGGGAGAGGAACAACTCATAAAAAGGATGAGAATGGTTGTACAACTTGAATGTAATTAGTGTCACTAAATTGTATATGTAGAAGCTGTTACATTGATGTATGTTTTGCTGTGTATATGCTCAACAGCAGCAACAAAATAAAATTTTTACAGTATGTAGGGAAATGTAAGTCTCCCTTCCAAATTCCCTATTTTGCCAGTTCCCATGCCAAAACTAATGATTGTTTTCAATTTATTACCGGACCTGCCAGAATACAGAAATAATGTACATATGTCAGCCTCCCACCATTCTTTATGGTAGCAGGTCATTCACTTGATGTTTTCCATTAAGTGTATATGTTAGAGTTGTTCCTATCTGCGTGCTTAGAGAATATGCTCCATTCTTAAGGGCTGCATAGAATTCTATTTATGGACCTACTATAATTTATGCTACAGTTCTTTATTGATGAGCGTTTTGGTTGTTTTCAGTCTTTTGCTAATGCAAACAATGCTACCAAGGAGTAATCTTGAAATAAGACACAGTTTTGTGACTGGGGTGAATTTCCTAGCAGGAAAGTTACTGGATAGAAAGATTCTGACACTGAAAAGGGACAGCTCTTTTTTTTTTTTTTTTT